CATCGCCTCTGGTCCTTCTAACCAGCGCTTCTGGTCCAACATGGATACTTAACAAATTAAGGGATTTTCTACCCATCGCCTCTGGTCCTTCTAACTAGCGCTTCTGGTCCAACATAGACACTTAACAAAATAAGGAATTTTCTACCCTTCGCCTCTGGTCGGTCTAGGGCATTGGATATTCATAATTTATGCAACACATAAAATCATGCTTTTCATAACAATTTCTTAACTGGAGCATATCTTTCGTACAACTGATTAAGTTCTTTTTATTATTTGTAAATTAACACAGGTGATCAGGCTTTGTTTAATCGACATATAATAATGTGACCCGCTTTAAAAATCATATGGTTCTAAATTACTTGAAAACCATTTTGAAATTTTTTGGTTATAGTCGATGGTTTTTAARGAAAACCAGCGTTCTCTATAACTGGTGCTCTGATACCAAATCTGTCACACCCCGCTAAAGCGGAAACACGAGATATAACAGGTAAGCGAGTCATAGCAATAGTTAATAAATAACACCTTTCAAATTTTACAAAATAAAACAAGTTTAACATCATTAACCAAAATGGAATAGTGTACTTCTTATACAAAAACTTCAAACACGAACTTAATCGGTCTTACCACAAATATGCTCCCAAAAACTTCATTTCTTACTTAAATCCTGAAAAGCATGAAACATAAAACAAGGTCAACTACAAAGAGTTGGTGAGTTCATGGGTTTTCATATCCACAAAACATTACAATGCATAAATCATTTATTTGCAAACATATACATAAACTTTTGCACTTAATAAATGTAAATCTACCACGATGCTTAACTTGAGACGCTACTGAGTCTTACCTGACCAACGTGCCCCATTATTTTACGAATGACCATAAGTAGCCCGTACACTTATTTAGGCCCCACAGTTCGTAGTAGTACTACTTCAGTGGTGGTCCAAATTCCACATGATTAGACTAAGAAAACATAGGTAATGTGCACCCCTTTCTGGGTGGGACTGTCAACACAATAACAGCTATCCACAATACCACAGCCCGGGGACATGCCCGAGTTAACAAGTAGCGTTTACGTACGGGGACTTTATTTGGAAACATACTCCCAACCACATCAATTTAGCATTTATATCATAGTGCAAAACAGTAAACAAAACTTGACTAAACAGTTCTTTAGTCCAACGGTTTTGACTAAACAGTTCTTTAGTCCAAAGATTTTAAACAAATCATCGACTAAACAGTTCTTTAGTCCAACGGTTATAAATAAAGTATAGTTTGCATAACTTCATGCTTTTCCCCCAATTTACATAAATAAAAAGCATTAAAAGTGGGGAGTAAGAACTCATTGGTTTGATGATGAATATCCAAGAAGATGACGTCTGAAGCTTTCAACATCTGCCCTACCTTCCTAAACAGACCAACATCCAGTATTTAGTTCACCTATGGGTTCTTGTCAAAGATAAAGTCAAATTGCATCTTATGTAATGTCATCGGATTTTTATGATTTAAAGTTGATATTTTATTATTTATTCTAAAAATAGCCCAAAAATTATATATAATAAAATAAATCAAAATCCTTTACTCAAAAGCTGATTTTTGGACAGATTATAAATTATGTTCCAGGTATATTTTGGATTTCACAAATCACTATAAATAGGAACCTTCCAAAAGTCATTTTTATGTCCAACTTTTACATCATTCAAAATAATGAGATCAGCCGACTATTCCAAATATCAAGAAATTTGAGTGGGTTTAAGTTACTCAATATTATTCTACAATCTTGAATTACACAGCCCCCAAAACAGATTGCACACTCTTCGAGTGACAACTATTTACTCATCATTTTCCAAAGATTTTAACCCTATTTTCAAACTACCAAAAACGGTTAGCCTTCAGAAATTATTTTCCGATTTCATTATATTTTGAAGATGCACAAATTGATTTGAGATGCATGCAAGATTCTTCCATACTTCAAAACATATCTTTACATGATCGGACTTCGCATGCAAAAGGGCTTTCTCCTACTTTCTTAAAGATCAAAGAACATGGATCATGGATTATCATCCTTTTTGAAGACATTCTCATGTCTTTGATGAATAATCTCCCTTCTTTAACTTTCCAGAATTTTAACTAAAAGGCCAAGAAGTAGGAGTAGGAGGATGAAAACTTTTGTTATTTTACAAGGGTAAGATAACTAGGATCATACCTTTGTCTTAAAATCTTGAATATTCTTCAAAGATTGACAGAATTTTCCTAAAGACATGCTTGAAGGAATCGGCTGGAGGGTGGTTTGTTTTAGAGAGAGATTAGAGAGATGAAAAGCTTAGGCTGAGAGAGTTTGGAAATGAGAGTTTTTCAAAGGATGTGGGGTATTTATATGGGGATTTTAAACAAGGAAATGGGCTGGCCTCTAAAGGCCCAAACCCAAATAAAACTTTAATTTTTCTTAATATGAATAAACCCACTATATAATTTACCCAAACATAAATAAAATGACACTATTAATTCCAAAACTCCACCTTTTGATAAATTATGTGGACATACAAATGGGACTTTTGTATTTTAATTTAAAAGTTTATAATATCAACTTTATTTTATTTGGAGCATTACTAAAATATTTGGCATTACACAAGTTAACTTAATCGGTTACCCGCCGAGGCGTGATTTTCCGAACTAAACTTGGGAACTAAGCGAGATGAACTCTAACCACCATGACTAGATCCTAGTAAATTTATAATTCTAAATATAGGATCTATAATAAGGTGCTAACCTGAGGCTCAGAAATGACGGAATGTCACACTACACTACACATGTATGTCAACATGTAGCTTCAAAATATATAATAGGTTGATCTTCAATACACAGTTAAACACATAAAGAAAATAATCATACTTCCCCCTTCCCTATAACATCCTGAGACCCTGCGGTTCCTGCAATGCACATTTTCAAAATAAAATGAGGGCTATACCTGAAGGTCCAGTGAGAAAATCCCTTATTTGCAATTACAGGGTGAAGATCACCAAATCCTGCTTAAAACATCTTTTGTAACTAAATAGATAAATTTAATCAAAAGGAAGAAAATATGCTTGTTACACAAAATATAAAACAAACAGATTCTCATAACACATAAACACATTCCTGGAAATCTGCATCTCTTAACAGACACCAAGTTATAAGATTCCTCTTTCTTAACGGGCCAGAGCTCCTCTTTACCTTAAGAAACAGAGCTCTTCTATTAAACCTGTTCCTTTAGTTGATCAGAGCCTCTGGTTCTAGTTTTAATATTCTTTTCTTTAAAAATCAAATGTCGGTCTTTTGGATTAGAGGCTTTGGTTGTCTAGAGGGTTTCTGGTTGAGATTAGACTTGTATATTTGGAGGGACTGAGAGCTTACACTGTTATTTTTAGGAGGGACTAAGAGCTTCACTGAAATACGTCTATGGAGTGTCAGAATCGATAGCCCTACCCAAGAGGACATCCATATCTAAATGAGCTTAAATGTAAAATGGGTTTGTGTGTAGAGCTTAAATGAAAATGAAGGATATATGCCCCCCCCCCCCTTCAAGTCTTGTTGATCACAAAATTGAGTCCCATAAATTTGTGTAGTCCACACTTTTTTTATCATTTTGAGCCTAATTAGAAGCATTAGTTGCTTTATCTTTTCTCACTACACAAATTTACAAAATATTTGTTGTTTTGTTATAACTGTGTGTCCCACTTTAATGATCAATCTTCAATAACATTGAAGATTAATGGCAATCTTCATAAGAACACCAAGAACACTTTGAATGTCTAGAGAGAAAAGGTCAAATAGTCAAAGCTAGTATATTTCTTGTTAGTCCCTTATATGATCAATCTTCAATACACCTTCAAATCATCAATGGCAGACAATATTTTCTATTAAGAACATGTAGGAGAAGTAGAGAGAAAAAGTCAATGATCAAAGTTTAGTCAAACTCTCTATAACGTATTATGAATTTACAGTTAAGCTCATACCAAAGATTACAAGACTTCACCCTATTTATAGGGTCAAACAAGACACAAGGTCAAAGTCAAACTATCTAGGAAAAGTCAAACAAGATGACTTTTCTACAATTATAGACAATTTTATCTTTCAAGACGAATACAATTATACACTGAATTTCATTCCTAACATTCTCCCCCTTTGTATTCAGACTTGAAAGAATTTCTGCGTTTTAAGTCTCGTTTGAACTTTGAAACTTTAAGCACATTATGTCTTCTCCAAAAGAAATCTTCAACTCGAAATCTTCAGACAATCATTTGTTGAGAAAGGTCTTCTAACATTCTCCCCCTCGAATGTAGAACTGCGATGATCTTCTTTTTTAACAATGTAGATCAGAAACAATAACGAACTTCAGAAATGATCTTCAGAAATTTTTCTCTTCAAAGGTAGTCTTCATCAGTAAACTGTTGTAAAATGTATCTTCACATTCAACATCTCTCAGTCATTTTAGTATAGGAATAATCTTTTGTAATCATCTCCAGTCGCACTCCTTTTAAGTCTTTTGCCATTGTTGATGTTACTCCCCCTTGATCTTTACATCAGATTCCCCTTTATATTGTTCGGAAATGGATATTTCATTCATTATTACATAGTATGACAATAAAGCTTCCTACTAATTCTCTTACACTAGACAAGACCTATATATAGGTCAAACTATAAAAGCTCAAGTCAAAGTCAACTGTCAAATTTGAACTTCCAGGTTAGCTCTTATTAAGATTATATTAGTGTTATTGAAGATAATTTATAAGATTAGTTTGGCCGGAAAATTTCTAGAGTTTCCGGTAGTTGCTTAGAAAGTTCGGTTCCTACCCGTAACTATCTGAAACGTCCTATACATTGCCAAATGCTCCAACTTATACCCAATTTATATAAAACACAAAGTTTT